CTGTGCTTTCAGGCAGTTCAAGAAAGCTGTGACAGATGCCATCATGTCTCGCCGAGCAATCCGCAACATGAACACACTGTAAGTGGGCTTGTCCCAGCTGCTCTCCCAACTCTGTCCCACACCCCCTTAGGCTCCCAGCTCTGGTCCTGACACAGCCTCCCTCCCCCCGTATCCTAACCAGGTATCCAGATGCCACCCCTGAGGAACTCCAGGCAGTGGACAACGTCTGCATCATCTGCCGAGAGGAGATGGTGACTGGTGCCAAGAGACTGCCCTGCAACCACATCTTCCACACCAGGTGGGGGCGCGCCCCGGGGAGCCTGCCCGCCTGCACAGGCCCCTCGGGACCTGCTGACCGCTGCCTGGTCTTGACTCCCAGCTGCCTGCGCTCCTGGTTCCAGAGGCAGCAGACCTGCCCTACCTGCCGTATGGATGTCCTACGGGCATCACTGCCAGCCCAGTCACCACCGCCCCCTGAGCCTGCGGACCAGGGGCCACCCCCAGCCCCCCACCCCCCACCACTCCTGCCCCAGCCCCCTAACTGTGAGTGTCTCCTCATGCCACTGGGGAACTAACTGGTGGCCCTGGGTTGGGTGTGGAAGATGCTGGGTAATGGAATCTCTGTCCTCCAGAAGCTCAGTCGGCACAGGGAGGGGTGAACGCATGAGGAATAGATACGCACAGTTGCTGTGGTCCATGAGCTCCAGGCCCCACAGGAGTAGAGGCCAAAGCTCCTGTAGCCAGTCCTGCCTGGGAGTGGGGTCTCCGCAGCTCAGCCCCGGCTCACCACCCTCTCCTCTCTCTGCAGTCCCCCAGGGCCTCCTGCCTCCTTTTCCTCCAGGCATGTTCCCACTGTGGCCACCCATGGGCCCCTTTCCGCCTGTCCCGCCTCCCCCGAGCTCAGGCGAGGCTGTGGCCCCGCCCTCCACCAGTGCAGGTGAGCCTTTGCCACACTTCGGCAGCCGGGGGTGTGGCAGGGATGAAGAGGGGCCCCACAGCGCGTTAATTTCTGCTCTTCCGCAGCCCTTTCTCGGCCCAGTGGAGCAACCACAAGCACAGCTGCTGGTTCGGCCCCTGCACCTGGCTCCGCCCCCGCCCCCGAAGCTGGCCCCGCCCCTGCCTTCCCATTCCCTCCTCCCTGGATGGGTATGCCCCTGCCTCCACCCTTCGGTAAGCTGGGCCACTCTGGGATGTATTTGGGGGTAAAGCATCAGCTGAGCCCAGGCAGCCCAGACTTAAGTTTCCACCTTTCTCCAGCCTTCCCGCCCATGCCTGTACCCCCCGCGGGCTTTGCGGGGCTGACCCCGGAGGAGCTGCGGGCTCTGGAGGGCCACGAGCGCCAGCACCTGGAGGCCCGGCTGCAGAGCCTGCGCAACATCCACACGCTGCTGGACGCGGCCATGCTGCAGATCAATCAGTACCTCACTGTGCTGGCCTCCCTGGGGTGCGTCTGCATGGAAGAATGGGGTGGCGCTGCCAGAACCGTCTCCAGCAACCATACTTACTGAGTTTGTCCTTAACACCTGCTGACTCAGGTCCCCTACCTACAGCACAGCTGAGTGCTCTTGATTAGAGCTGACTGGAGCTCTCTTATGTTTTCTTTTTTTTTTTTTTTTTTGGTCGGTTGTGGGGCCTGAACTCTGGGCCTGGGCGCTGTCCCTCAGCTCTTCAGCTCAAGGCTAGTGCTCTACCACTTGAGCTACAGCGCCACTTCCGGCTTTTTTCTTTTTGCTTATGTGGTGCTGAGGAATCGAACCCAGGGCCTTGAGCATGCAAGGCAAGCGCTCTACCACTGAGCCACTTTCCCAGCCCCGCCTTTTTTTTTTTTTGTCAGTCGTGGGGCTTGAACTCTGGGCCTGGGCGCTGTCCCTGTGCTCTTCAGCTCAAGGCTAGCACTCTACCACTTAAGCCACAGCGCCACTGCTGATTTTCTGGTGGTTAGGTGGCGATAAGAATCTCATGGACTTTCTTTCCCAGGCTGGCTTTGAACTGCTATCCTCAGATCTCAGCCTCCTGAGTAGTTAGGATGACAGGTGTGAGCCACCAGCGCCCCGCTTAGTCCTGGCTTTTGTGGCTCTGACTCCTCCCTTAACATCCTCCTGATGCTGGGATTGTCCCTGAACTTGGAGATAGGCTGGCCCAGGTTCCAGTGCCAGTCCCACTGCTCACTTGCTCTATGGCCTCCTTTACCTTACTGGTACAGGAGTCCTACTTCCTAGACCTAGGTGACACATACAAAGCACTGGCACCCAGCAGGGGCTGCACAGGCCTAGAAGGACACTGGAGACTGATGGGAGTGCTGATATTCCCAGGGGGAGGCTGCAGGATAGCAGGGGACCTGTCCCCAGTCTGAGGCTGCAAGAGATTTATAATCCAAGTGCTGACTGTCACTCGGCTCTTGGATTGGCCCCATCTGCGACTCCATTCCACACTCAAGTGCACCTGTGCTCACTGGAGCCCCAGGGGTACTGTGCTAAACACAAGGGCAGAATCCTCTATCTGGGCCCTTGTCCTCTCTTCCCAGGCCCCCCAGGCCTGCCACTGTCAGCCCCACCGAAGAGACAGCCTCAACAGTGGTTACTGCTCCGTCCTCCGCCAGCAACCCCAGCTCTGAGGCTCCCCCTCCGCCCCCAGAAACCTCCCCACCAGCCTCTGAAATGGAAAAGCCTCCGGGTAGGTGTGATCAACTTCTGAGGGGATGGGCTGTGGCCTGCTCAGGGTTCCATTCCTAACCTCTGCCCCCAGCTCCTGAGACAGTGGGTGCCGAGGAGCTGCCTGAGGATGGAGAGCCTGATGCTGCCGAGCTCCGCCGGCGCCGCCTGCAGAAGCTGGAGGCCCCCGTTGCCCACTGACACTGCCCCGGCCCCGGCCCTGCCCCCGCTCTCTTGAGCAACCCTCGCTGGAACACGTCCTGCCACCAAGTGCCAGCTCCCTCTCTGTGTGCACCAGGGAGTAGTAACCCCAGCTCTGAGGAAGAAGTGGGGGGCATCCCCAAGGCTCAGTGGAAAGAGGTTGGCCTCCTGGCTGAGAGCTGGAGCCCTCGGAGCCCCAGGAGGCCATGGGGACGGTGGGCAGTCCCAGGCTTCCTCTCCACTGTCCAGCCCTGACTGAGGTCTGCTAGGGCTGGGAAGGCAAAAGGCTTGGCCTCTGAGAAGCCCTCTTCTCCACCATCCCCCCCCTCCTTCTGGGAGGAGGGGCAGCCCCTCGGGGCCCTACTTGTGTGTGGGGGGTCACGCTGCGTGCTGAACAGTATTAGCTTCCATTTCCAAGTGTGGACCCCAGAGGGGCTGGAGGCAGGTCAGGAGCTAGCCCCTGCCCCCCTGCCAAGAGTGGTACCGATCCTCTTCTCACCCCCGTCTCCCCCAGAAGCCCCTTTGTGATGGTGGCTGTGCCCCCTATGCCCTGTGGCATTTCCACGTCTTACTGGCAACCACGCAACTCAGGGAAAGGAGTGCCTGGGGGTAGGGGGGCAGGCGGGCAGCACTGAGGGACCCCGCTCCGCCCCTCACCCAGGCCCCTTTCCCCTGCAGCTTCTCAGCTGGGACTGACAGTCTCACCCAGCAGCCACTGCCCAGCCACATGGGCTGAGGGCCAGTGTGCTGCTCCTTAACCACTGCGACCCTGGAACTCAAGGAAGATCACTCCTGACCTGCAGACCTGCTCTCCAGTTCAGGACTGAAACTGCTTCCTGACCTAGTGGCTTTTGGCTTAAATTTTGTCTTTAGAATCTGAATGCTTGACCCCAGGAAGGAGGTGCCGGAGCGGGGTTCCTGCTCTCTACAGTCAGTTCACAACAGGCTCTGGGCCAGGCAGGGACCACAGGAGCCAAGGCCTCTGCCCAGCCCAGTCTTTCTTCCCCTTGGTTTTGTGTTACAAGAGTTGCTGGAGACAGTTTCAGATGATTATTTAATTTGTAAATATTGTACAAATTTTAATAGCTTAAATTGTATATACAGCCAAATAAAAACTTGCATTAACGACCGGTGGGACTTGTGTCTAGGATCCAGGCCAGGCTCCTCTTCCTTGCCCAGGCTGTAGACTTGAGAATGGCCCCAATCTTCAGGAGGGAGGATGTTGTTCTGGGTCCACAACTAGGAAGACTTGACTGCTTTACATATGGAGAAACTGAGCCCCAGAGAACTTCAAGGGCCTCTGCCTTAGGTTAGAGATAAGTAGGGTAGCCAGGAGCCAAACCCTGCCTTAGCTGCTTGGATGGAGGAGTGGGAGTGGGAACTCCGGGCTTAGGCAGCTGTGGCTCTGAGGGTGGAACAAGTGTGAAGTCTAGTTGGTGCGGAGTGGGAAGGATGGACGGCAGGGGTGTAAAGGACCTGCACCTTCACCCTCCCACCTGCAAACCTCTGTCCAGCCTGGATTCTAGGTCAGCAGCCTTGACAGGATGGCCTTGGGCTGGGCTCTCAGAAGCACCAAGATGCCCCCTTGTGGCCAGACCACCCCAAAGCCAATCATTTTAACTTGTGGCACTGGAAACCTAGTCAGGCAAACAACTCTGGTCTGGAATGGAGCAGGGACCTCTCCAGGGGCTGACATTTTGTGCTTCCTCTTCTCCAACACTGCTTTTGGAACTTTAAGATGCTACTCAGGACCCTGTGTCCACAACCTCCACCAGACCGAGTCTGGCCTACAGCAAGCGCTGGGAAAGATCTCAGTGAACCCCAAGAAGGCTAAAATATGTGCCCTATGTGTGGTTTAATCTGTAAACCCTCCCTAAACAGGGTGGGGCAACTGCTTCCACCAGATGATAATCCCTAGAATCTGAACAGCTAAATCCAAGGAATCCGAAGAAACAAGCCACTGAGTGGAAGGACAGCAGCTAATGCCCTCCCAACTAGCTTGAGAATGGTTTTTATTTTTTGGGTCCAGTTTGGGCCTGAACTCTGGGCCTGGGCGCTGTCCCTCAGCTCTTCAGCTCAAGGCTAGTGCTCTACCACTTGAGCCACAGCGCCACTTCCGGCTTTTTCTTTTTTGCTTATGTGGTGCTGAGGAATTGAACCCAGGGCCTCAGGCATGCAAGGCAAGCGCTCTACCACTGAACCACCTTCCCAGCCCGAGAATGGTTTTTCCTGGTGGGTCTCCCATGCTGGTCAACTCTCTCCCAGTGGACCCTTGTATGGAGGAGTCTGATTTCCCCTTATTCAATCAAGGCCTGACTTACCTAAAGCCTTTCAGCCTCACACTGGGATCAGCCCGAGCCCATAGCCCTGTTCCCAAAGGCTCCAATGTCCCATTCCCTCCTCCTGAGGTCCCCTGGCCTCCAGCCCACACAGGTTGCTCAGTGGGGCTCAGAAGCCCTTCTCAAGAAGCCAGGTTTTAAGTTGCTCATCAAAGTAGCCCTTGACCCGCAGAGTACCTGTCACCTCATTAACCTGGGTGACTGGTTTCTTCCCCAGCAGTGGGCTCAAAAAATCTTCTACATCTTTCTGCAGAGCCTGGGGAAAGAGGTGTCAGGCTTAGTTAATAATCCTTCCTTTCCAGCAGCCTCCCATCCCTTTAGCTCCCAGACAGTGAGAACAAGACTCTAACCTACCTACCCTACCCACTTACCCAGATGTCCCCTTCCACCTTCCGGATCACAGTCATCTGGCGATTGCCATGTGTGATGTCCCTGTAGACAGGAATGTTGTACATCCGGGAGCGCCGCACAAAATAGGGCAGGTTGGGTGGGGGATCTGTGATAGGGAATAACAGTGATAAGCCAATTTGTTCTAGACTCCATCTCACTTAGCCAAGGACTTTTCCCTCACAAAATTACCCTCTGCATCCAATGAGACCTGCCACTCTGACTTCAAGTCAAGGTAACTAACTCTTCTTTCCTTGTCAGACTAAACTGTGCATCAGGTACCTTCAAGGTCCTACAAAGGACCTGTGACCAAGTAGGTACTCAAGAAAAAAATGGAGTCATGCCAGGCGCTGGTGGCTCACAGCTGTAATCCTAGCTACTCAGAAGGCTGAGATCTAAGGATGATGGTTTGAAGCCAGGTAACCCTCATCTTCAACTAACCACCCAAAATCCAGAAATGGAGCTGTTGCTTGAGCAGTAGAGCGCTAGCCTTGAGCAAAAGAGCTAAGGGACAGTGCCCAGGCCCTGAGTTCAAGCCCCAGGACTGGCATGCGTGCGTGCACACACACACACACAATCAGAGCATAACTCCTTGTGTCTTTGGGTTCCCTCTGGGGCCAATCTTTGTCCTTTTCAATTGAAAACAATTTCTGGAACAAAAGGATACACATGTAATAGCACTAGGCACCTATTTGCTGGGCTCTACCCTAAGTGGTTCATGCACTGAATGGATTATCTTCAATTTGCTTAAATTGAACTTGGAAGAAGCTTAGTGACTTAAGAGCTCACCAACAGTGTAGAGTAGAGCAGGAGCCAAATTCAAGCATACAACTGCCTGACTTGCAAGTTGTGTTCTCAAAAAAGGTAACATGTGCTGAGGGTAAAGGGAAGTTTTGTCTCTATGATTTACTTTCTCCCATATGGAAACATTCCCATGCTACTAGCTTGAGATACATAGCCATTAGTAGAAGGGTCTACTCTTGAATCATTCCTTGGACATAAGGCAATGCTACCCTTAAAAGATCTCAAATATGGTGGGTGCTGGTGGCTCATGCCTGTAATCCTAGCTACTAAGGAGGCTGAGATCTGAGGATCTGAGGAAAGTCTGTGAGACTATATTTTTTTTTTCGGTAATGGGGCTTGAACCCAGGGCTTGGGTGCTGTCTCTCAGCTCTTCAGCTCAAGGGGTGCGCTCTATCACTTGAGCTACAGCGCCACTTCGGTTTTCTGAGTGGTTTATTGGAGATAAGAGTCTCACGACTTTCCTGCCCAGGCTGGCTTTGAACTGCGGTCCTCAGATCTCAGCCTCCTGAGTAGCTAGAATTACAGGCATGAGCCATCTGCGCCCCACATGGAGCTCCACTTTTTGTGTATAATTCAAATAGTAGAGTACCAGCCCTGATCAAAAGAACTGAGGAACAGCATTCACACCCTGAGTCCAAACCCCAGTCCTGTCAGGCTGTCTGTGAGACTCATCTCCAATTAACTACCAGAAAACCAGACGTGGTGCTGTGGCTGAAGTGGTAGAATACTTGCCTTGAGCTGAAGAGCTCACTCAGAGACGGCACCCAGGCCCAGAGTTCAAACCCACAACTGACAAAAAAAAAATTAAAATTAAAAAAAAAAAAAGATCTCAATATGCCACACTATTCACAATAGCCAAGATAGGAAAACAATCCAGATGCCCCACAATAGATATTCATCCAAAAAATGTGGTACCTACAATGGAATTTTACAAAGGCATTAGAAAGGATAAAATAATGTCATTCACAGGGAAATGGATAGAACTAGAACAAATCATGTTGAGTGATATAAGCCAAGATCAAAGAGACAACCGATGCATGTTCTCCCTGATATGCTGAAGTTAGATTTAAAACACAATGGGACATGACAAATTATACAAGATTCTACACACTCACAGTGAGACCAAAAGAGGATAGTCTTAGGAGAACATCATCAAGTTGTGATACCAAAGTGCCTGTTTATATATAAAACAACATACACATACTGAAACAGAACGCCAAAGATAAGGAAACAAAGGATGTTTTCTTAATCTGTCTGTTTTCTAATGACTCTTTTTTTTTTTTTTTTGTCGGTCATGGGGCCTGAACATTGGGCCTAGGCACCGTCCCTGAGCTCTTCAGCTTAAGACTAGTGCACTACCACTTGAGCCACAGTGCCACTTCCGGCTTTTTCTGCTTATGTGCTGCTGAGGAATCAAACCCAGGGCCTCATGCATGCAAGGCAAGTACTCTACCACTGAGCCACCTTCCCAGTCCCCCTCCCCCCGTTTTTGCCAGTTCTGGGGCTTGAACTCAAAAGCTTGGGCACTGATCTGAACTTCTTTCTGCTCAGGGCTAGCACTCTACCACTAGAGCCACAGCACCACTTATGGCTTTTTCTGTTTATGTGGTACTGAGGAATCGAACTCAGGGCTTCATGCATGCTAGGCAAGCACTCTACCACTAAGCCATATTCCCACCTTGACTCTGTATTTTTTTAATTGTTTTTTTTTTGTTGTTGTTGTTGTTGGTTGTTGGTTGTGGGGCTTGAACTCTGGGCCTCAGCACTGTCCCTCAGCTCTTCAGCTCAAGGCAAGTGCTCTATCACTTGAGCCAGAGCGTCACTTCCAGTTTTCTGGTGGTTTATTGGGAGATAAACATCTCACGGACTTTCCTGCCCAGACTGGCTCTGAACCAAGATCCTCAGATCTCAGCCTCCTAAGTACAGGCCTGAGCCACCAGCACCAGGATGACTCTGTATTCTTTACCTCGTATATACAGTGTATACATGTGCACAACTGAGGGAAGGTGGGGGGAGGGGACAGTAGAAAACAGGTGAAAAAGTGCAGCAGCAGAGCCCACTGGACATTGATGAGAGTGAACCATGCAACTCATGGGCAGATATGGAAGGGAGGGAAGGGGAGAGAAGAAGGGAACAGATGATACTATGTAAAAAGAAGAAAATATACTTATTACCTGAGGTATGTAAAGGTAACCCCGCTGTATACCACCTCTTAAACAACAATAGTTGTTGTTGTTGTTTTTTAAAGAGAGATCTCAATATGGGTACAGGATTCACGGTAGTTTCTAAAGACTCAGTAAGGACAGGCTGAAAACTGAGGAAGAGAATGCTCCTCCTTCAAACTATCCCCATTACCCAGCTTACCTCTGGGAGGCTGCCAGCCACTGGGCGTGGGATAATGTTCATGTTTTGGGGGCTTTGGGATGCTGGTAGGGGGTAAGAGGCGCTCCACAAACCGGTACTCATCTGCAGACTCCACAAAGCTGGGGTAATCAGGAGGCTTCTGGGTCTGGCTCTGAGACAACAAACCATCTCTTCGTTAATTTTCCCTATGTAGAGGTAGACAAGGGACACACGCGCGCGTGCGCACGCGCGCGCACACGCACACACGCGCACACACACACACACACACACACACACACACAATGTGGTGATTTTTCATTTAAAGGTTTTTCTCTGAGCATTCTATGGAAACTTTCTAGTTCTGCATTCGGCACTTAAACCACTCCTAATTCTCTCATGCCCCCAGCCAGAGAACGTCAATAACTCTTCAGTTCTGACCCACCCAGGCTGTCCTGCTGCAGCTACATTTCCACACCGCACTCCCCAAGTGTCGGTCCCAAGGCTGTCACTTTGTGGGCTCCCACTCTGGGCGCTCCTCTGGAGATAACTGAGCCACAGAAGAAGACGAAGCCCCCACCACCACCATGAAAGGACGTGGATTTAGAAACTGCAGTGAGTAACTGAGAGCCCTCTGCCATCATCAGCTCCGAGCCCCGCGTTCTCACCAGCTGCCTTCGTCCGCAGCCTCGCTGGATGTCGGTTCTTCTCCAGACCCACAGCACAGACCTGACCATGGCCGCCGCCATCTTGGACTGCCCCAGCCTTCTGCTACCTTTCTGCGCGCGCAACCGGCTTGGCCCCACCCTTCCCGAGGGCCGCGCCCGAGGCGAGAGAACGCCAGCGCGAAGCGTAAAGGGGCGGGGCCAGAACGGCAGTGGGCGGTACAAATAGAGGAGGCCGTACAGTCGCTCCGCAGTGACGAGCTACGCAACCGGCCCTCAGCACGCCTGCGCAGCGCGCTCCTTCCTCTTTCTCGACTCCATCTTCACGGTAGCGGCCGCTGGTCCCGGGGTTCTGGTACGACTTGTACGGCGGGTGGATCTGGAGGGCTTTGGTAGCTGGCTGGCCGCGGGGTGGGTCCGAGGGCGTTGGGGAGATCAAGGGAGAAGGGGTCCTTTGTGGCTCTGGCCTTTCTGGGCCTCCCCGTGGGCCCGGCGTTCCACACGTGAGGCCCCCGCGTCTCCCTCGCTCCCGACGGGTCGACCGCCGCTTCCTCCCCGGGCACCACTTCGCTTCTTTCACAGCCTTCTTTTTTTATTTTCGTAGTCGCCAATATGCAGCTGTTTGTCCGCGCCCAGGAGCTCCACACCCTTGAGGTGACCGGCCAGGAGACGATCGCTCAGATCAAGGTTCGTGCGCCCTGCTCGCGGTACTCCGCGCCCGTGCCCGCCCTGCTGCCCCGCGAAGAGACTCGGAATATTTCTTTATTTACCTATTTATCTCTATGTCTTGGCTTGTAGGCTCGTGTGGCCTCCCTGGAGGGTATCGTCCCGGAAGATCAGGTCCTGCTCCTGGCAGGCACGCCACTGGAGGATGACGCTACCCTCGGCCAGTGTGGGGTGGAGGCCCTGGCTACCCTACAGATAGTCGGCCGCCTGCTTGGAGGTGAGTGGGGAAAGGAGTGTTTTGGTTTTCTTTTCTTAGAAATTCCTGGTGGGTGAAAATATTTCGTTGCTCAATGTCTGGTGGTAGAGCAGAGTATTTTCCAGGCCAGACTAAGCCAGAGTGTAACTGCACCTCAGTCCCTTACTAGACTTCTGTCTTTAGAAGTCTGAGATGAGGAAGGTGATTATGTTGGGTGGTGGCTTGACTCTTGTGGCTTTCCACTTTCCCCACCATAGGTAAAGTCCATGGATCCTTGGCCCGTGCTGGAAAAGTGAGAGGTCAGACTCCCAAGGTGAGTGGATTATTTGAACTTTGTGTTTTGTGTTTTTCTTTCAAAATAGTAAGACTCTGGTCTCCTGTATGTGTATACTTTTTCCCTTCTTGGAAAAGGGAGTCTGAGGGAAAGGATCCTGGCATAGCAGAAGTCACCCGAGGTCTCATCCATCCTTCCTTTTGCCAGGTGGCCAAACAGGAGAAGAAGAAGAAGAAGACTGGCCGGGCCAAGAGGCGGATGCAGTACAACCGACGCTTTGTCAATGTTGTGCCCACCTTTGGCAAGAAGAAGGGCCCCAATGCAAACTCTTAAGTCCTATGTAATCTTGGCTTTCTGTAATAAAGCTACTTCGCCCACGCAGCTTGTTTTATCTTTATTTGCAGAGCCATGGGGTAAAGGGAGGTATGTATGTTTCTAGGCTGGCGGTGTGTTCCCTAGAACAATAAGACAAGCAAAAACCCTTAGATTTGAGGGAAATGGACATCAGTAGAGGTGGGGTTATCCCCATCCTAAGCAACTTTGTCCCCAAGTCCTTTTTATCTTCTTGCCAAAGAAAATAGTCTTGGAGTAGAGGCTGGTTTGGGAGCAAAGTGGATTTGGGTGGATGTCTGTTACACAGGAACATGGTATGCCTCTTCTGTCACTTTATTACACTGGCACAGAGGTGAGGGATGCCATTGTTTGTACTTTTAAATATCTGGCCCTGGGCTGGGAAGGTGGCTCAGTGGTAGAGTGCTTGTCTTGCATGCATGAGGCCCTAGGTTCAATTCCTCAGCACCACATACACAGAAAAAGCCGGAAGTGGCACTGTGGCTCAAGTGGTAGAGCTGAAGCTCTTCAGCCTTGATCTGAAGAGTTGATGGACAGCACCCAGGCCCAGAGTTCAGGCCCACAACTGACAAAAAATAATTAAAAATAAATATCTGGCCTTGGTAACCTAATCACAGCCCCAGACAGAGTCATTGATTGGTTTATGGTTCCTCCCTAGCAGCATATTTGAACTTCATATATTGTCATGTAATGTTAATGAATCTGCTGGTTCTTGGGATGCAGTATACGAAAGTTAACAAAAGCCTTTAGGCTCTGGACTTGTATTGCTGAGTTTAGAGCCTCCATGTTTTGCTTTTGTCTGGCTCTCACCTTGAACCACTAATACCTGTCTGCCATTTGAGAATTAAAGTATGTAAAATGCTTGTGTAAGCACTTAGCACAGTGCAGATGTGTGCAAGTATTGGCCAACTTATTTTTTTGCCAGTCCTGGGGGGCATGAACTCAGGCCCTGAGCACTGTCCCTGAACTTCTGTTGAAAGCTAGCACTCTTCCACTTGAGCTACAGTGCTACTTCTGGCTTTTTTCTAATTATGTGGTAGTGAGGAATCGAACCCAGGGCTTCATGCATGCTAGGTGAGCACTCTACCACTAAGCCACATTCCCAGCCCTGGCTTTCATAGTGTTAAAAGAAAAAAAAAAAAAAAAGGATGGCTCCTAACTTTTTGTGAGGAAGGTTGAGTTTGAACTCTATCTCAACCTCGCTGGGCTAGCACTTAACCCCACTCAAGTCCTGCTTTCTTTCTTTTTTTTTTTTTGGTCGTGAGGCATTGAACTCTGGCTGGGCACTGTCTCTGAGCTCTTCTACTCAAGGCAAGGACATCACCACTTTGAGTCACAGCTGCACTTCTTTTTCTGTGTGGTTAATTGGAGATGAGTCTCATGGGTTCTTTTCTGCCCCAGGCTGGCATCCTCCTGAGTAGCTAGGATTACAGGTGTGAGCCACTGGTGCCTGGCTATTTACCTTTTTTTTTTTTTGGTGAGGGAAAGAAGAAACTAGATGAAAGTTTTGGGCCTTAAGTACATAAAGCAGAGTTTTGGATTGGCTTTCTTTTCAAGGAGAAGCCACTAAGGATAAAACTTGATTTAAAAAAAAAACCACCCAAGGGGCTGGGAAGGTGGCTCAGTGGTAGAGCGTTTGCCTTGCATGCCTGAGGCCCTGGGTTCGATTCCTCAGCACCACATAAGCAAAAAGAAAAAGCCGGAAGTGGCACTGTACTCAAGTGGTAGAGCATTAGCCTTGAGCTGAAGAGCTGAGGGACAGCGCCCAGGCCCAGAGTTCAGGTCCCACGACCGGACCCAAAAAAAAAAACCAAAACACCCAATCATATATTACCTAGAGAAGGAATTGAAGGGCTGGGAAGGTGGTTCAGTAGTAAGAGTGCTTGCCTTGCATACATGAAGCCCTGGGTTCAATTCCTTAGCTCCACATAAGCAGACAAAGCCAGAAGTGGTGCTGTGGCTCAAGTGGTAGAGTACTAGCCTTGAGCTGAAGAGCTGAAAGACAGTGCCCAGGCCCAGAGAGCTCCACATAAGCAGACAAAGCCAGAAGTGGTGCTGTGGCTCAAGTGGTAGAGTACTAGCCTTGAGCTGAAGAGCTGAAAGACAGTGCCCAGGCCCAGAGTTCAGGCCCCACGACCGACAAAAAAAAAAAAGGAATTGCAAAGGGGGCAAAAGTGATGTTTGGAGTGGGTACAAAACCTGCATGATCTTGTCAGTAATTTGTCTTAGTCCATTTTCTGTTGCTCTGAATATTTTAAAGAAAAGTTTTATTTTGGCTTAGTTACTTAACAGACCCTCCAGACAAACCATTAATCTATTAATGGATTTGGGATTTGTACCTTAAGGCAGAACCACCTCTCAATAAGATTGTTTCTATATGAGAATTTGTGGGAGTTTCTTGTTTCCTGTATGTTCTATTACACCCTCCTCTTCCCCTTCTTCCCGCCTTCCCTCCTTTAGTCCCTCCCTTCATTCCTCCCTCCTTCCCTTTCCTTCTTTCCTTTTTTTTTTTTGTCGGTTGTGGGGCTTGAACTCTGGGGTTGGGCGCTGTCCCTGTGCTCTTCAGCTCATCACGAGCGCTCTACCGCTTGAGCCACAACGCCACTTCTGGTTTTCTAGTGGTTTATTGGAAATAAGAGTCTCACGGACTTTGCTGCTCGGGCTGGCTTTGAACAGTGATCCTCAGATCTCAGCCTCCTGAGTAGCTAGGATTACAGGCGTGAGCTACCGGTGCTGGCTCCTTCCTATTTATGTGTAGCCTGGGCTGGCTTGTCTTCCAACTTGAGATTCTTTTGCCTTGGTTACCTAAATGCTGGAGTTACAGGTGGGTGCCATTACAGCTATGCTTGTCTCAATATTAGTGTCCCTGAATACATTTACACAACAGCAGGGGCAAAGTCCAATGTCCAATTGCACGAGTCATGAAAAGGATTTAGGAGAGACTAATGTGATCTGACTTGTAATCTAATTTTTGTTTTGTTTTTTTCTTTTTGGTGCTGGGAATCAAACTGACCTATAAACAGACTAGGCAATCCCTATACCACCAAATAACATCCAACCTTGTGATCTAATGTTTCTGGAAGGTTAGAAGGGAAAAGAGGCAAGGGCATAAAATCTAGATAAAGGGGGCCATTCGTGGGGGATATAAAGATGGGTCTTCAAAGCCATTTAATTTCAGTAGGGAAAGAGATGATCTGTATCAAGATAAATGCAAATGTGGGGTTGGATGTGTTCAGAGTCCAAGTACCAGGTACTTGAGTACTCAAGGAGTCCAAGTACCAGGACTTATATAATTAGATGCAATGAATAAAAACACTTAATGGTACTTAGCAGAGTTGTTTGTAGCTCATTATCATGGGGGGAGGGGAGTGGGGTCTGTGGGCCTTGAACTCAGGGCCTAGGCATTGTCCCTAAGTTTTTTTGCACAACGCTCTACCATGGTACTGAGCCTCAGTACCATTTCTGGTTCTCTGGGGATTGTTGATAAGAATCTCAGGGACTTTCCTGCTCAGGATGGCTTTGAACCACTATCCTAAAGAGTTCTTAATATAGAGTCTACATTGA